CTTAATTTATTAATCTTTACACACGCAAAACACTAAATAATTGCTACAGCTATAAATTCTGTACTTTCTTCTTTGTAGAAGTAAGAAAAAAAATTTCAAGGTGTCTTATTTTTTGTGTAATACATTTTTAAAATGTGCATGTTTTCGTCAAAAAAAAACGTCTTATTTCTAAAACTAAGCGAAATCGACTAATAAAAATTTAGCGTAAAAACATTGTTTTAAAAGGCTACATCCAAAAATGCAAAGAAACATACGGTGTTTCATTTACAAAAACACAAGTTTGTATCGTAACTTATTTTTGGGACATGCTGTATGATTGAAAATTATTTTAGGTGATGCACTAGATTAGTATCAATCAATGTGATGCACAATTTTTTTAAAATTTTACCATTTAGGTCACTAATGAACTTTTTCAACTTGCTGGGACACCCTGTATAAACAACCCTTAAGCATTAAAAGGATTTATTAGTAGGAGTTTGGTTTTTATTACATTTACAATTTGTTTTTACATTAAAATATCGGGCGATCAAGATAATTTGTAATCGAGTCATCTTTGAATCCGAAAACGTATGTCTGTAAAATGACAAGTCGAAAGGTAAAATGGCATGATCAAAAAAGTGATGATTATAATACCTAAATTTATAATTTACCTTCAAAAAAGAACGGTCCTACTCGTATTATTATACGTGGGCGACTACTTCCAGCCCATTTTGACGTTATACCTTTCGACTTGTCATTTTATTTGACGTTTCATGTGCAGTTAGTTCAAAAATAGACATACGTTCTCGGATGCAAAGAAGACTCGATTACAAATTATCTTGATCGCTCGATATAAAAAAACAATATAATTATTTTATAAACAAAAAATTAATCATCATAATAGTTGTTACTAGTATAGAGCATATTCCATATCTGGTGGCGAACTGTCAGTGACAGAAAAGACACTTGGAGTGCGCCCACTTGGTTAAGATAAAAAAATACATGGGCGTACTTTTTTTCTCTAAAAATTTTGAAGACAAAGATTGTTAGGAATATCATTTTTGAAAATTCTTTTCATGCGTTAACAATTTAATAATTTGTTCATCATTCTTCAACTTATGTACGAGTACCTACTTATTATATTTTTTTAAAGAATAACAGTGGTTTTGAAATATTATTTCATACGACGCCTATAAACAATATTTTTTTTAATAGTAAACATATGTTTAGTGTCAATATTCAGTCATTTTTGACAATGTCAGTTCGCCACCAGATTTGGAAGAAGCTATATCAATAATAAGAGAATTTGTAATTGAGTCATTTTTTGGATCCGAAAACGTACAGTTGGAGACAAAATACTTTGGTCGTCAATGTCAGTTGAGTGACATTAAATTGTAAAGAATGCTTTAGGTCTGTTAACCTTATTTTTAGCTACTGTCAATAATAGTTGACAAGTTGTACGTATTTTTGATAGAAAGATATAATAGCTGTCATTAATTTGAAATTGTCATTCATTTTAACCTTAAAGCTTGAATTACTTTAAAGTGTCAGAAAAGTGACGACCAAAGTATTTTGACTCTAACTGTATGTCTATAAAATGTCAAGTAAAATGACAAGTCAAATGGCATGATCAAAAAGGTGATGCTTATAGATAATAACTAAATTTAGGTATAATTTACCTTCAAAAAAGAACGCTCCTACTATTATATACGTCGGCGATTAATTTCAGCCCATTTTGCCGTTTTATCTTACGTCATTTTATTTAACGTTTCCCATGAAATTAGTTCAAAAACAGACATACGTTCTCAGATGCAACGATGACTCGATTACAAATTATCTTGATCGCTCGATACTTACATTTTTTGATTACATTATTGGGGGCCCGCATCAATATCATACACTACGACACTGGTTAGGGCATACCAGAAACACTCCGCAAAATGGATCTATAAAGCCCAAGTCTGCTAAAATTGCTATGACAACATTTAAAAAAAGTCATCCCCTAGAGATCCATTTAGCGCGTTACCTGCTGTTCGTAAAGAAGTCATTTTTGAGAACAAATGCAAAAGAAACTATGTCATAAAGACATCATGGTTCTTCATTTGTTTGTTTATAGACTTATACATAATAAATTTATTATTTCTTTGCACCTGTGCTAGCTAATAATTTACCTTTTTGTTAACACAGTACTAAAATTACAAATTTCCTCTCTCGTTATTTATATTACTCTTTATTGATTCAGTATTGGGTTTAGCAGGAAATTAAATTTTTTCCAACGATGTGTACACAACTTAACTCCGATGCATGAAAATCAATAGAAAACACAAATACTCATGTTTTCACATAAAAATAATATCTATAGAAGGAAAATGTATAAAGTCATAGCATAAAATCAGGAACGTACGGTCCATGGAAGCAAAGCTTTTATTCAATAATAACAATCGAAGTAGAATTTATTCATTAAATATATGATTTCTATATTATTATTATTATAGTTGTTAAAATACAGAGTGTTAAAAAAAGATTGAAAATATTTAAGAAGATAAATAGTATGGACCAAAATAAACAAAAAAGTTTTAAAAAACATGGATCCCCAATGTACTAGAAGCTTCTCTTCTTTGTTTGAACAAATTGCAAATAAGTGTTTCAAAAAACGAATAATCTTCGATATCTCTTCGTTACTTTGCGGAGCCATGTTTATAAAGACTTTTTTGTTTATTGTGGTCCATACTATTACCTCCTTAATTTTTTTAACACCCTGTATACATCTTGACAAGTCATGACTATTATGCATATTAGTTAGAAACTGTCGTATTAGTCACAAGCTGAAGTTAGCTTTCTGTCATTAAATGTCACAAAATTTAATTTAATTTTTAATTTATAGCCATTAATATAACCAGAATAATTAAGCGATTTAGAACGATGCTAGGTGACGAGACTAGCCGAGTCACCTGCGCAGCGTCCGAGATGGTTTAAATCGCTAATATTTCAAGCTTTATAGTAACATCAACTTTTCTTGTTAATACTGTTGGAAACATTTTAGATTTGCAAGATAAATAGGTAGATACAAGGGACAATATGTCAAATTCGGTGTCAAAAACTGAAAGATCAATGTAATGTAGGTATAGTCGTTTTCATAATAATATGCATAAAAAAAAGACGTTGAAAGGAATCATATTAAGTTGGCAACCATGCAAAAATTCAAACAATCTTAGCCTCAATTCTCCCTATAAATGTGTACCTCAGTTTTTGAGAAAGCAAAAAATAATCAAAGCTAACAACGTAATTAGCATAGGGTGGCCAACAAACATGATTAAATTTGTTCTGAATGACATTATTGACACTGTTTGTGTGAAGCGATCTTTAAATTAAAGATGCTTTTAGAATTCTACAACCTACTTGATGCACATTAATATGAAAAAGAGTATAAATATATTATGAGTTTGTATCTAACCTAAAATGTCTTGTATCGAACGTATTAAACGAACATAATGATAATGATACGATAATGTAAATTTTTTTGTAGTGGTCATAGAAAAAGTATAGTATGTAACATGTGTATAAACTTCGTTTTATTAAACACTCGCTCCGCTCATGCCTAATAAACTCATGTCTAAAGTGGTGTTTATAGCACTGGTTACATAATATACTATTATTATTATTATAAATGTGTCTGAAGACTGTTGTTTTTAAAAAATTCATGCACGTAATGCGTGAAACACATATTTCCATAGTTGTCATTTTTCTGTTAATTTGACGTTTACAGGTTAGGAAGCCAAAAAACCACTTGTGACTATAATTTTGCAAAATTAATAAAAGAAAAATGTCTTTTTACGGAATCTTAAACTTAAGATTTAATCTATTGATTTTAAAATTTTTGTGTTTTTTAAAACCATCATTTGTAACTTCCAGTTCGTTATGCACATTTGGCACAATTATGATTTGGTTGTTTATTATTTTGTCAAAAATAGAGATATCATTAGCAAAATTTTTATCGTTAAAACGAAAATAAAATACGTGATACAATTTAATGATACGGATTGTTACTACATTCAATTGTATTGTAACTTATTTTTGGGACACGCTGTATAGTTGAAAAATGTTTCAGGCAATGCGCACTTCCGGACACGAAATTTTGGATGATTTGTCATCCAATTTACATAAAAATGTAAAACTTGCTTTAAGTGCATCTAATCTCACGTAATTTTGATCCTGACAGCGAGAAAAAAAAGACAATAAATTAAAATAATTTATTAAGCTATACAGGTGCGCCAGAACTCGCGCCCCAGAGATAAATGCCATATAAAGTAAAATACCAGGAACATGGAAAAAATGTTAAAAAAATTTTATCTATAAAAATTTCGAAGTTATGAGAGTTTAAATTTTGCACTCTGACCCTATTTATTTTTGTTGGAAAAATATTTTTTTTGTGTTTTTGTTACAGGCTATAGGAGAGGAAACAAAGAAGCTGTAGCCGAAATTGTAACTCTGTTTAATGTTATTTGTTGCTTTTATTGGCAAAATTTTTGTACCTTTACTAAATAATTGTATCAGTATCATTAAATAGACATAACAAAATGTCAATGTCAAAAAAACAAATGTCAAAATGTTTTGACAGAGAATTTTTTATCTTACCTGAATTTTTTCACCGGGGCGCGAGTTCTGGCGCACCCTGTATAAAAAAATCTTAAAATGAAAAAAACTAAGTTTAGTTAAGTTTTGTATCGGAAAATCGACGCCAAAAATAAATTTCAACTAAAACTTTCAAATTTTAGTTTCAAACGTCAATCATAATGACAATAAAGCGTGGCTTGCATTAACATTTTTTAAATTAACATAAAAATGTCCAATATCCCCTATCCTCAATTGTACCTATCTATCAATTTTCTACATAATATTTAAAAGTCAGTAATATTGCATTTTACCAACTCGCTGAGATATTCTGTATTATGTTTCGATGTAGAGGTAATAACACCAAAAATAATAATGTTTTGAATCAAATATTTAAATAAGAGACTCACCACTGCCTAATTAAATAACCAAATTATTTCATTTGTGTCATGATTAACGGAAAATAATTCCCGAGGGTAATTGCTAGTGGAAAACCACTTTGTTAAAACAAATAAAATTATAAAAATCGAATTGTACATTCGCGTCGGCACCACCAAATCAACCGTCGTTTACGGCGCTACTACTTCAAAGCAATTCCGCGTTCTTCAGCCAACTCTAAAACCCTAAACACGCGCACTACGCTTTACGCTGCACACAGTATCAGTATTATTACGTATTTACTCTTGGCGGATGCGCCCAACACTACTCGTATCTGAGACGGATTAGTCATTTACAGCCTCCAGACTGAGTATTTTTGAAATCAAAAAATTTATTGTAATTTATTGTATTGTAATGTGACTTTTCTAATCTTGAAGGAGGTTGGAAAGTGACTCATTATTGACCTATTACCTACCTCTATTACTACCCTCGTTTTGTTGTCCTACTATTAAGGCTCCAGACCCCCTGAAAGCTGGCGTATACCTATTACATGTAAATTTATTTCATTGTTTTTAGCCGCAAATTTGGATTTGAAGAGTTTCTTGATGTTTGTAGTGTTTCTTTAAAGGTAAATGGAGACCAGGGAAATATTCCCGCTTTAAATAAGTTAATAGATATTTTTTTATTGAATAAAATGTGAAAATTTTAATTATTAAGATTTTTTGATAACGGTATACCGTATTGAATTAAAAAAAAACAGTTTATAGGTAATTTAAAAATACAGTGCCCTGATATAATGCGAATTTGATAACTGTTCTTGATTCTTTGATATAAAGCAAAAATTAAATTGAAAGTAGGCAACCAATAATACACGATTTTCTGTACCTGGAGCATAATTTATGACAGGCCGGGCCGCACCGCAGGGTGTAACCCACAACATGATGGTTTTATTGCGTTTGTTCAAAGCAAAGTTATGCATTTGAACCCCTCAATAAGAGAATTGTTAGTTCATTTCAAAACTTCAATTTTTTTATTATTCATCTATTTAAAAATAAATTAAAAAAATAGATAGGTTTAATATAAAGGCACTAAGACCAATACGTAAACCTAAAAAATAAAAAATTAAAATATAATATTTATATTAATTTTACTGAGGACGGTTTTTGCTTAGGGATTATTATATGAGTTGAGTTGAGTCTTTACGGACAGCTCTAATTAGTCAAATTAATTTTGTGTTAAAAACGATTCTAGGTATTTATGGTGAGACACATATTATGTTTATCGTTATTGTGTTATGTGTATTATTTAACCCTTAACTGTTTTGGTGGGGTAAAATTTGAGCCTAAACTTATAATGACAGTAAAAAGACAATTAACTTATTTTTCACGTTTAGCGGAATTTCTTCGGGTTCCTTATTTTCTTCCGTTTCTACGTTTAAATTAGCCCCTATATTTTCTTCATCTTCTTCATTGTTTTTATTCTCTTCACCTCCTTTGTTTCATGATTTATTATTATTTTATTATTTCGTAGTTTCATTATTATTTTTAATTTTTTTTTGTATAATAAAATTTAAAATATTTTTTTATTTTTATTACAATTATTTATATTTGCTTAATTACATATTACTTGTAACCTAGTTATAATAAATTAATAATAAAGTTATTTTGTCATTTGATATTACAAAATAACAAATAGAATTCAATTAAACACAAATAGAGCAAATTGAGATTAAGAGACATTTCTTCGAAGTTTTTTTTAATCCAACTTTAAAAACTTAAATTTACCAGATTTTCGAAATTTACTGTCAATCATTACGACTTATTAAATAGTGAAAATTTTGAAATGTGACACTTCATAAATCTTTTTGATAAAATTTATCATGGAATCTCAAGAAACAACAAGGTAAGTTAGTAAAAACGTCATTAAAAATTAGAAATGACATTCTTTCTAGACCTTTTCTTGTAGTACGTGGTGATAATGTAACAGGAGTCAAAAAACCAACACAGTTAGTTAGTATTTTTTACAATGATGAATAATAAGAATTTTTTTAGTTATTTGGAAACGCTAACACACGCAATAAAAGGATATGTTGGTTCAGGAATTTTTGCAATGGGTGCTGGTTTCATGAACAGTGGAATACTTTTAGGCCCACTCTTATTAATATTCATAGCTTTAGTCAATTTGCATTGCCAACATATACTGGCAATGATTGGTATAAAAACAACATTCTAATTTGTAAAATTTTATTTTCAGATTAAGGCAATTATTAAAATTACCGAAAAAGAAACGGTTCCTGTTTTACCAAGTTTTGCTGAAACGGTTCAATACACTTTTGAAGATTGTGATTCCACTTGGTTGAAGAAACATTCAAAGACTTTTGGAAGCACCACTGATGTGTTTCTAATTCTTGCAGAGTATGGATATTGCGTCGTCTACTTCATTTTTGTTTCAAAACATCTTGGTGAAGTAATTTATCTATCACCTGAAATCATGAATAATGCAGACTTTTCACTTACAGATCGCTGAAGCTTACCACTGGAAGCAAAACTACCGTGTGATTCTTGCCCTTATTTTACTACCCATGTGGCTCTCAACTTTTCTAGGAAATTTGAAACTGTTAACTCCAGTGTCTTTCTTAGCAAATCTTATCATGTGGGTTGGAATTGTGTTAGTTTTGTATTATTCAATGGTAAATTTGGATGTGAAAACTCAACGAAATTTAGTAACTCACATTGAGAAACTTCCTCTCTTTTTTGGGATTGTCTTATTTGCAGTGGGCGGAATTACCTTTGTAAAAATTTTGGGTTGTTTACCAGTTTTTTAATTTTTTTACACAGATTGTACCATTACGAATGGAAATGAAAAATCCGGATTCCTTCACAAATATTTGTGGTGTTTTAAATGTGGCAATGACAGTAGTCGTATCTTTGTATTTGCTTGTTGGAATTTTTAGCTACTGGATGTGGGGAGATGAAGTAAAAGGAAGTGCTTTTCTTAATTTACCACAAGAAGAAGGGTATTTTCTTGTCATAACTATCAATGTTTTACTTGCTTTTTCAGTCTAGCTATTGCTACAAAAATTTTAATATCTATTGGAGTGATGTTTACTTTTGCTTTGCACATGTATATTCCTTTTGAAATTGCTTTTCCGAGATTTTACAAAAAATGGGGACCTTTCAATCATCCAACTTTGATAATAAATGTCTACAGATCAGTGGCTGTTCTCATAACTTGTATGATTAATTTTTTAATTTTTTTTTTGTATTTTTTCTTTTCAGATGCAATAGCTAATATCAGTGCAAATTTGGCATCTTTTATTTCACTGATTGGAGCATTGACTGGATCTTTTTTAGCATTATTAGTGCCAGCAATGCTTGATTTGGCAATGAAATGTGGATCATTGACGTATTTTACTGTCTTCAAGGATGTGTTCATAATTATTTTGGCCTTTGCAGGAGCAATCACCGGCTCAGTATTATCAATTATGGATATTATTAAAGACTACACGAAAGAAAATGAGTGAAATAAAAAATTAGCAATTTTTGTTTTTTTTTTCTTGAAAAAGTTTTTTTTTTGATTGATTAACTTTTTGATTAAATTTGTTGTTACATTGTTTCTACAAGTTGCAAAAATTCATTTATTATTCGACGAATTTCTGCTTTTTTTAACGATTGAGGAGGTTTTCGGGGAGTGTTTAATCAAGGATGAAAACATTGCCATCTTCGCACTTATTAAAATTAGGGAAATATAAATATTGTGTCAAAACGAAGTTTTTAGCACAAAAACGTGTTAGAAGGCTAAAAAATAACCCAAATTCTTGGTCCAATTTTGTGATTTTTCCACTTGTTTTAACAAAATTTTACAAAAACATCGCTAAGGCACGTGATAAAACGATCAAAAAAGACATTTTAGTTCAAAAACGTGCCTACAAGTTTGTAATAAGCAAAAGTAACACTGTTTTCTATAAGTTTTGCAGTTTTTTCAATTTACGTACGATAATATCAATTTCGAAACATTTTAAAAAAAGTTTTTGTTTTAAAAACGTGCTTAAACCTCCGAAAAAAGCAAAAATAACACCATTTTCAGACTAATTCTGTGATTTTTCAACTTGTCTTTAACGAAATTTTGCAAAATAATTGCGTTCACGAAACGTGATAAAAAAGAGCAAAAAAATGTTTGGTTTAATTTTGTGATTTTTCGATTTCGTTTTTAGCAAAATTTTGCAAAAAGCTTCTGAGGTTTTATTTCAAATCATACTCAAAAGTTTGAAATAAGTAAAAATAATACCATTTTTTTACTTATGTCCTTTTTGATCAACTTTTCATATACTATATCGGGTGAAATAAACTAAATCATATAATTTTTGATTTATTTTTGTGTTGTTTAGGCATATTTCGACAAAATCTTGCAAAATATATGAACTTTTGGTTAAAACAAGCTAAGGTAACATCAATTTCGATCTAATTTGTTAATGTTTAATTCAGTTAATACTTTTTTGTAATTTTGTTTTTATTTCAAAAACACAATTACACGTGAAAAAGATACAAATAACACCAATTTTGGCTTCATTTGGTAACTTCTTGGCTAGTTTTAAAGGAAACTTTACAAAATAATTGTGTTTCTGTCTAAAAAAACGTGCTAAAAAACTCGACAAAAGCAAAAATAACACCATTTTCGGAGAAATTCTGTGATTTTTCAACTTGTCTTTAACGAAATTTTGCGTTCATGGTTGAGAAACGTGATAAGAAACGCTCAAAAAAGCAAATAAATGTTTTTCATTTAATTTTGTGATTTTTGTTTTTTTTTAAATTTCGAAAAAAGCTTTTGAGATTTTATTTCAAATCGTACTCGAAAGTTTGAAATAAGTAAAAATACTAAAAAAACAAGTTATGCGTTTTTTGGCTTATCAACTTTCCAGATAATTCGAGTGAAATAAACAAAATCACTTTTGATTTATTTTTGTATTTTTTTAGGTATATTTCGACAAAATCTTGCAAAATAAATAAACCTCTGGTTAAAACAAGCTAAGGTAATATCAATTTTGATCTAATATGGTAATGTTAAAGTCAGTTAATGCTTTTTTAAAAATTTTTTTATTTAAAAAATGTACATATGGAAAAAACACAAATAACACCATTTTTGACTTCATTTGGTAAATTCTTGGCTAGTTTTAAAGAAAATTTTTCAAAACAATTGCGTTTCTTTGTACGTTTCAGCACGCCTTTAAGTCAAAAACTTAGTTTTTTCGAAAGATTTTAGTAAAATGTACCACGAAATTCCTCTAGTCTTTCTAAACTAATTTACCTTGTCAAAATGTTTTCAAAATCATTAATACCATTTGTAGAAAATTAAAAAACAATTTTTGCCTTTCGGTTGGACACTATTTCCCTAAAAAGGAAGCTTGGAAAAGTGGACGAATTTCCGTGGTATAAATTTTAAAATAGGAAAACGGTAGAAAACAAAAGATCATCCCTTTGTCATGAAACTGAAATATGTCAAAATTTTTGTGAATTTTTAATGTCCAACACATTTTCCAACACAAAATTGAAAATGGCGAAACAACAAGAATTTTGGGAAACTCTCAAATTAAAGTATGAAGAAAAAAATCGCACTCTTCAACAAAAAGAACAAGAATTACGCCTCAAATTAGAAGCAATGGATGCAATAATTTCCAAAAATGAAAAACCCAAAGACACACTTTCGTTAAAAGAAGCCGAACACATTTTTGGAGCTTGTACTTGTCCACCACCACAAGACAAAGGCGGATTTTTCAAATGTGTTTTTTCGATTTTTGGCTCTTCTAAACCAAAAAACACCCCCCCAACCCCATCACCAACCCCAACAAGCCAGTCATCCCCTCGTGCTCCTCAAGATGTCCCAACAAAGGAAATCACAGGATCACAATGCATCAGAAGTGAAAGGGTAACAGCAAGAACTGTCATTGACCAAAGTAGAAATGAAAATTGTATGTGCAATCCTTGTCAACTAGACCATCCTCCTGAAGGAAGCCCCAAATACCCCAAATCAGGTACCAAAGACTGCAATTGTAGCATTTGCAGCAGTAGTTTCTCGTCAATGGTACCAACAGACCTGAAAAATGAAGGCTGTAATTGTGACATTTCAAACGTCGATGACTGTATTTGCACACAAGAAGAACCAAAAGCTTCACCACCAAATGGAGGTCTAAGTCTTGGTTCCCCAAGCAAATTATCCCTGAAATCAATGGATCTTTTTTACATTCAAAACATTCATGATTTAGCCTCACAACAGAAGAAATTGCTACATGATATTAAAGATTTAGAACAAAAAAATAAAATCTATGATGATGTTTTCGACCAATACAAGAACATTGATTTCTCCACGAAAGTACCTCAAGCTTCGGCTTGTTGCCCTTGCAACGACTCTTCTCCCTCCCAATCTGATCAAAAAACCAACGCTGAGTTAAAATTAGAAAACTTCTTACTGAAAAACGAACTGAAAGATATGAGATTGGAAGTTCGTCAGTACTTAGAACGAATGGAAGGCCCCATGCAATTTAAAATCGAAACTGAACGATACAAATGTTTCCAATTGGAGCAAAAACTAGAAGAAGCCCAAAAAGAACAAGCCCAACTTCAAGAATTCTACCAAAAAGAAATCAACTCTCTTAAAATGCAATTATGTACCGCAAACACCAACATCTACAATTTAACAACTACAAATGAACAACTTGTTGAAACACTTCAAGCATTCCAAAACAAATGTGCAAAACTAGAAGAAGACTTAATTCGGCAGAAAATCAGCGAAGCTGAAACAATTAAAAGTCTTCAAGATGCTTTAAATGCCCAAATCAATGCAAATGTGCAAAAGGACGAATGTGATTTACATCAAATTGCGAGAGAATTGAGCAAAATTCTAAAAGAGTGTGAACCATGTGGGGAATGTCTTTCACTTCCGGAGGATTTAACAGCTGCGGCGAAATTACTCAAGAGTCTCACTGATATCATTGAAAATAAGATTCCAAAAGAAGAGGAACAAACTAGACCATTAACAAATAAAGTTGGTACTGAAGCTGCAGAAGAACCAATGAAAGGGGTTGATCCGGTGGAATTGCTAATGACTCAAGCAGAAACTGGTGAGTTTTTGAATCTTAGACAATGTTTAGGTGCTGTTGTGATTGAAGACAACGTTGCACCAGGTGTCCATTTCAAATGTTTAAGCTAAAAACCCAGTTTTTTGAGATTAGGTCAAAGATACATAATTTTTTCCCTTTTTTTAGCTTGTTTTTCAGCCGGAAACACAATTTTTGTAAAAAGTAACAGCCAAAAATCACATAATCATGTTATTTTTACTTTTTCCACATAGAACTCCGTTTTTGAGCTAAGAATTTATTTTTGTTTTTCTGTGAAATACGCAATTATTTCACAAAATTTCGTCAAAAACAATCGGAAAAAGTCAAAATCGGTGCTATTTTTGACTGTTTTGAAAGTTTAAGTACACTATGAGCAAAGCCTCAGGAAAACAAATCGAAAAATTACACATTTACGACAAAAACAACATTATTTTGCCTTCTTTGAGAGTTTTAACGAGTCTTTAAGTTAAAAACTCAGTTTTTTGAGAGGTGTTTTGGAAAAAAATACCTGAAAATTACATCATTAGGATAAAATTAACATCATCTTACAAAATTAGGTTATGATTATTATGTTATTTTTTAGTTTTTAAAAGTTTTAACTCTGTTTTTAAGGCAAAAACTTGTTTAATTTCTTTAAACTAAATCTACAAATTACCAAATAAGACAAAAATAACATTATTTTTGCTCTTTTCAAGTGTTTTAGAAGGATTTTTAGCAACAAACGCAATTATTTCACACAATTTTGTCAAAAATAATTCAAAAACATTGCTATTTTTGTCTTTTTAAACATTTGGCTTACTTTTTCGAAATAATTTATTTACACAGGCCCAAAAATTTGTACCATTTTCCAACCAGAAACATAATTTGCAACATTTTCTAAAAAATAAGCCAAAAAAACACTATTTCTTTTTCTTTTTAGAATTTCAACGTTTTTTAACCAGAAAAAAAAATCACAAAATTAGGTTAAAAATTAAGTATGTTGTTTTTACCTTTTCCCAATTATTGAATCCCATTTTTGAGCTAAAAATTTGTTTTTCGAAAAATTCCGTTAAACCAAATGTCGAAAATGGTGCTATTTTTGATTTTTTTAGGTATACTCTTGAATAAAAACCACAGTTTCGAAAAACCAGATCAAAAAATCATAAAATTAGGTCAAAAACTATATATTATTTTGTCTTCTTTGTACGTTTCAGCACGTCTTTAAGTCAAAAACTTAGTTTTTTTCGAGAAGTTCTGTTAACATACCTATACCGCAAAATTACAAAATTAAACCAAAAATAACATCATTTTTGCCTTTTATGTGTGTTTTACCATGATTTTCATTCGGAAACGCAGTTTTTAACAAAAACCACAAAATTATTAGGTTATGAATTTTGTATTTTTTAGTTTTTTTTTTTTTAAAGATTTAACTCTGTTTTTTGAGGAAAAAACTTGTTTTTCGCGAAATTTATTTAAACTAAATCACAAAATTACCGCATAAGTCAAAAATAACATTACTTTTGCTCTTTCAAGTGTTTTAGAAGGTTTTTTTTGGAAAAAAACGCAATTATTTCACAAAATTTCGTCAAAAATACTCCGAAAACATTTTCAAATTGAGTCGAAAATGGTGCTGTTTTTGTCATTTACCAAACACATTTCTGAGCAAAGAAGTCACTTTCTCGAAATAATTTTATTAATTTCGTCAAAAAAAGGCGAAAAAAACCCTAGTTTTTTTAGGCATTTCAGCATGTTTTTTAGCCAGACAAAAATCACAAAAATTATGTTAAAAATTATGTTATTTTTTCGTTTCCCAATTATTTAATTCCGTTTTTGAGCCAAAACTTGTTTTTCGAAAAATTCCGCTAAACCAAAGGAAAACATTACCAAATTTGGTCACAAATAGCATTTCCAATAATTACAATTGAGTCGAAAATGGTGTAATTTTTGACTTTTTCAAGCGTTTAAGTATACATTTGAGCTAAAACCCCAGTTTTGGAAAAACAGATGAAAAAATCATAAAATTAAGTCAAAAACTACATTATTTAGTCTTCTTTGTACGTTTCAGCACGTCTTTAAGTCAAAAACTTAGTTTTTTCGAAAGATTTTAGTAAAATATACCGCAAAATTACAAAATTAAACCAAAAATGACATCATATCTGCTTTTTGTATGTGTTTTAGTATGGTTTTCAGCCGAGCATCAAAAAGTAATCGAAAAATCACTAAATTAGGTCATAAGTGGCGCTGTTTTTGCCATTTTACGGATCTAACTGCGTTTTTGACTTGAAAATTTAGTTTTGTCGCAAGATTTTTGCTAAACCAAACCAAAAAATTACCAAATCTGATAAAGAATCGCATCATTTTTGCCCTTTTCAAATGTTTTTAAACGTTTTTATGCGAAAAAATTTCGAGTCAAAAATGGTGCTTTTTTTGACTTTTGTTTTGTTTGAGAATATTTTTGACATAGAATCCAAGTTTTCTTCGCAATGTTTCTGAAAAACAAATCTAAAAATCACAAAATTAGGTCAAAAACAACGTTATTTTAATTTGTTTGTTAAAAGTAAGTTTTCAAAAAGATTGTGAAAAAATTACAAAATTGTTTTAGATGATTTTCAATCGGAAACGCATATTTTATCAGAAATCAGCCGAAAAATCACCAAATTACGTGAAAAATGTTGTTATCTTTGCCATGTTCAAGTATTCAGCTGCGTTTTTGGCCTAAAACCTTAGTTTTTTGCTAAACCAAACCAAACATTTCCTAGTTTAGAACAAAACTACATTATTTTTGCCATTTTTGAACATATTTAGATGTTTAGGTGCTGTTCCGGTTGAAGAAGACGTTGCACCAGGTGAGCCAGATGAAGGAAAAGTTGCACCAAGTGAGTCACAAAATGAAGAAAATATTTCCCCACCAGTTAAACCCGAGTCAAGGAAGAGTAGTAAGTGTTTTCATCAAACTAACTAATTCTTTATCGATCACCTCTTTAGGTTTGGAAGAAAAATCTCAAAAAAGTGTTGTAATTACTGAACCTATAGCATTCGTAGCCGAAGAGGAGCCTCCTGACACTCCCAACCAACCAACAAAATCAAAAACTTCTTGTAAATGTGTCAAGTCGAAAAAATCATCAGAAGTTGATCAAATTTGGCCCAAATCTGAAGGGCCTGTTGTAATGAAAGACAGCAGTGTAATGGAAACGGCAGTAGTACCAACTAAAAAGAAATGTAATTGTCATGTAACTAAAAAATCACCACAAGTTACACCAACTGCTAGTAAAAAATCTTGTAAATGTAACAAGAAATCATCAGGACATGCTGGAGAACCTGCTGGTCAGACTGTCGCCGTGGCAGGTCCTGTATGGCCATCGACTTCAGAACGTTTCAAACTTGCACATCAAGTGGTCGCTTCAAGAAGTAAAGAACTGTTGAAATCTGAAACTTCAGTCAAATGTTTGAAAGTGAAAGAGAACTTTCCTTTTGACATTGATACTCAAGTTGATGTGTTGAATAGACCTCCAGATGGTGTTCATGTCACTACAACTATTACTAATTCTGGTACTTTAGAAGTGATTACTGAAGGACCAGAAGGTGTGATTGAAACAACTCTAATTTACACTAATTCCGGAAATGTGGAAGTGGTTACTGAAATTCAGGAGTATAAAGGAAAAGGGAAAACTTGTAACAGAAATAGAATCAAAACACCAGCTGTTGGAGGAGGAGGAGGAGGAGGAGCTTTGGCGATTGAAGCTCCAGTTGATGAAACTCCAGTTTCAAGTTCAGTCTCAGAACCGGGGAAACCCTCCACTGGTGATACAACGACTATTGATGCGTCAAAAAGTGGCCCAATTATCAACCCCAACTGTCAATGTAAACAATGTCCAGTTTTGGAATTAATGGGGGCTAAAACGGGGGAAGGTATTTTGTAAGTGAAGAGAAAACACGCACAGCTAACAATTTCATTTTTTCAGAAGTAGTCAAAAATGAAATTCTTGATCAGCAGATATCACAAACACCAAGAGTTGAAGATGTTCCTGAAACGCCAACTGAAACAGCACCCGTAGTTGAAGATGTTCCTGAAACTCCTGAAAATATTGTTGCGACAATTGAAGCAACTCAGGTTGAGACTGAGGGTGCTGCTGATGTGCCTGATTCCCAGGTTGTGAAGAGTTTGTCTTTGTCTTTGCATGTGGAAAATGAGAGCAATCTTGAAAAGATAACACCAAATGAAGAACCCAACGAATCTTAATAAAATTAGAGTGTTCATAGTTTGTTGTATTAAATAATGAATGTTTTTTCAATACAATTTCTATTTATTTATTTTGCCTTTGCTTTAATTACTGCACAATAAAAACTGTTTGTTGATATTTAGAAAATTAAGTCAAAATTTTGGTGTAAGAAAACAAAATACTATATTATCTAAAAGAAAAGAAGAGTTGAAAAATTTTGAAACAAATTGAACACCAAATTGAGTAAAAATTTAAACGCTGAATTTCGTTAAATAGGCCAAAAAAACCACCAAATTTGTTCGGAAGTAAAATTTTTTATTGAAAAATCACAAAATTAAGCCGAAAATAACATATTTTTTCCTGTTTTGAGGAGTTAAGAATGTTTTTTCGGTCGGAAACGCATTTTTTGTAAAAAAAAAAACAGAAAAAAATCACAAAATTTCTTAATAAAATAAGAGTGTTCATAGTTTGTTGTATTAAATAATGAATGTTTTTTTTAATACAATTTCTATTTATTTATTTTGCCTTTGCTTTATTTATTGCACAATAAAAACTGTTTATTGATATTTAGAAAATTAAGTCAAAATTTTGGTGGAAGAAAACAAAATACTATATTAAAAGACGAGTTACAAGAGTTGAAAAATTTCGAAACAAATGGAACACCAAATTGAGTGAAAATGGTGCTATTTTTGTCTCTTTAAACGTTGAACTTCATTAAATAGGCCAAATAACCACCAAATTTGTTCGGAAGTAAAAATTTTTTGCTTTTTTGAACATTTTAAAAAAATTCTCAGCTAGCAGCAACATTTCGTCAAAAATAAGTCAAATGTTTCAGCACAATTTTAACCTAAAAACCCAGTTTTTTTGGAAGATTTTGGGAAAAACAATCGGGAAATCACAAAATTAATCCGGAAATAACATATTTTTTCCTGTTTTAAGTAGTTAAGAATGTTTTTCTGTCGGAAACGCATTTTTTGTGGAAAAACAGACAAAAACTCATAAAATTTGTTTGAAAACCATGTTATTTTTTACTTTTTTCATCTATTTAACTTCGTTTATAAGCTAAAAACTCGTTTTTCGTAAAATTTTTCTAAACCAAAAAAAATAACCAATTAATTTGGTTAAAAAGAGCATTATTTTTGCCAGTTTCAAGTGTTTTAGAACATTTTTAGAAGAATAAGATATGATTTTTTCTTATTTTGAACATTTTAGCATGTCCTTCAGCCAAAAACGCATTTTTTGTAAAATAAAAAACAGACAAAAAGTCACAAAATTAAGTTGAAAATCATGTTATTTTTTACCTTTTTCATGTACTTACCTAGTATTTAATTTTTCAAATACTTACCTAAGTAAGTATTATATATAAGTATATCTCCGTTTCTGAGCCCAAAACTCGTGTTTTGCAAAATTTCGCAAAACCAAACCAAAAAATTACCAAACTTGCTCAAAAATTGCGTTGTTTTCACCATTTATAAAGTTCTTTCCGCAAAAAATGCACTTATTTCACACAATTTTGGTAAAAGTAAGCCTAAAAACACTAATTTAAGTTTGAAATGGTGTTATCATAACTCAAGCAGACTTGTAAGCTAAAAACCAGTTTTCTCGTGAGATTTCGAAAAAAACAGATAAAATTAAATCTTTTTTTCCACGTTTTAAATTAAAAACTTTGTTTGTTTTTGAGTATGATTTCGGCAAAACATTACGTACCAAAAAATCATAAAATTATACAGAAATTAACATCACTTTTGGCTTTTTTGAAGGTTTGGGACATTTTTCCGCTAGAAACCCATTTTTTTCTTTCCGAAAAATCACCAACTTAGATTGAATTTGGTACTTTTAAGTATTAAACTCGATTTTTAACCCAAAACTCTAATTTTGTCAAAAATTGGGTCGAAAATAGCGCAAGCGTTAAATTTTCAATAGTAATATTCCCAATGCCACACTTCCTGCACCCGACAATATTTCCCAAACAAAATTTACAAAAACAATATTTTCATTATGAGAAATAAAAAAAAATGTCAAAAACAATTTGTCAATGAAATTGGCTTGAAGAAATAGTCAAGGTCAGTAGTCTAATGGAAGCAATTTACTTCCAACAGCATTGTCACCAACATTAAAAACAAAAAATACACTAGGCTTTTAACGCACCCAAACGAGTACAAAATGTTGTTATAAATTTTTCTTAAATAAAAATTGCATTAGAACGTTTATATTTAAATAGATAAATTCCCATTATTACTTTTATTTCGATGAAAAAAAAGAATTCAAGAAATAAGCCTATACAACGTAAAAAGTATTTATTGTAAATGAAAAATGCAAAAATAATACAAGTTTACTGGTACTAAAGAAACTCAAATAATTCAAATAAACTGAAAAATGTAAAGAGTGATGAGGTTTAAACCATTAATTTCCCAATATGCTCCAACAAATAGTTATTATGCGCTTCATAATCAACTGGATCCACTTTAATAACAACAATTTTCAACCGTTGTTCATCCTAAAAACTAAAATTATGAAGGAATCAACAAGTTACTAATTTTTTACATTATAAACTTCCATTTTGGCTCTACATTTAAAAATAAATTGTTGGAAATTAGCCGCTTGGAAAATAGCAGTGCCAGCTGCAGCATCATCTTGCATGGTAAGTCCAATTTCTTGTGCAGTTTTCCCTAAAATTGTCTCGGCTTCTGATGAAAAAAGACTCACCCATTGGTTTCCGCTAAAGTCCCCAATATTCATCTACAAACAAGAGAAATAAAAAAATCAACACACAAAAAACAACAGACCGAAACCAGCAAACGATATTTGAAATTGGGAAAATCGCGACAACATTTTTCACATCTGTACATCCCATTTTCCAAATCCACAATTTTTTTATTACAATTTTCAGTCGGACAAGCTTTATAAAGCGAATTCTCCGACCGCACCAACAAAATCGTCGCCTTAGTTTGAAAATAATCGCCCTTTTCAGAATTCCCCAAGCCTTTATCTTGAACTTCTTTCAGATTCATCCAAGCTGTCTGAAAATTCCCAACTCCGGTCCTTTCACTCAAATGTGTAACTGTCTCATATTGCCCCTCAGAATCAAACCAACCCTTGATTCTGTGACATTCCTGAATATCGGGATTCAACTTAAGCTGACTACTCATCAAAGTTGATAAATTTTTCCCACCCCCGAATTCTCCAACTTTCGCCCCCTTGATCACAACAACTGGATTATTAGTAGGATCAAAGGAATCAGCTTGTGTACCCCACAAAGTCAAAGCAACCTGAAACGTCAAATGATTGGTTGAAAACAATCACGTGATACGAACGGAAGTTTTTGATTGGTCGACAAGTGTGACTTCGCGCTTGCGCAATTCACGATTGGTTGATTTCGAAGTGAATGTTTGTACGTCTGATGCATCTTTACAGATTCCTATAATATCGACTAAACTACCCACTGCGATTTCAGAAAGCGATGAGATTGGTACAAAATTGAATTTGACTTGTGGTACATCACTATCATCATTAACACACTCCTCAATAACGGATTCATTACCAATGGTCATTTCATAGTCATTTTTGAGGGGGTTAAACTGTTTATTAGCTGTCTTGAGTTGGCATTTACTTATGTAGTAGACTTTATCGACCTGAAACAGCTTAAGTCACACCATTGAGTTACCCTCAATTACAGTTACCTGTAAATAATTGAAATATTTATCGGCCAAGTCTCTGAACGCTGTACATCTTATTTCACCACTTTCGTCCAATAAATCAAAACTAAATAATTTGCCTTCGCCTCGAGAATTCGACCACGATCGCATTTCAGACTTACTCGTGACTCTAGCTTTAATCACCCATTTGTTGTGATAAGGGGTGAGGGAGGAAATTTGACTCAAGACTCGAGTCTCAGAAATGGATTGGTTCAAGGACGTTGATTGCTGTCTCGAGGGTGGTTCAGAGGTTGAAACCTCACGTGAGAGAATTTCATCAGATATAAGCTGGGGGTTAGCAAGTTCTTTACCAATTTGAGAACCAGGAACAACCACTTCTGATTCCAATATAAAAAGTAATTTTCTACAAATAATTATATTATTAATGATGAAATTATATACCAAGACTTACTGGGGCCCCTTAGCGTTATTTACTTCACTTTTCATAAACTTTTTCAATCTGATTATGGAATAGTTTTCAATGGGGGTTGATTGAGAAAGGGTTAAAATTCCATTTGTAGTTGAATATGCACCATCAGAGGCACATATTCTATAACGTTCTGTCTCCATGTTCCTTGTTGGCATCTTCTTGTAGGTGAGAATCTGGATTTGGGGCTCCTTCACTTCTTCACCTTTGAAAATACGCTAAAATAGAATTAATTAAAATAGTGTTGTATAAAATTGAACGTGAGTACCAATATAGCGCCAGTGGTTAATTTATTTTCCATTTTTACGTTTTAACACCGCAGCAAAAAATGTTAGGTTAAGTCGTAATTTTCGCGGGTGACGCTTTTCATAAAAACTCGAGGTGTTCCATGCCCGAACATTCATTCGTCCGAATTATTGTATTTTTACATGCTATTTATAAATCCACCCATAATAAACGTTTTATTTACATAAAAATACTCATTTGATTATTATGTAATCTCATTTAATGCAAATAAAAAATAAAATCCAAAGGGATAGACAACTAGAAAAAAATCGACTAAAAAATACTTCGAACGCAAAATGACAATTACACATATTGTTTCTGAAAAAAAACAATTTTTTTTTCGACTTTTTTTGATAACTAGAACAAAAAAAAATTTATCAAAAGATCTCAAAAATTGAAACTTAAAGCTTCAAAATGGTTTTAAATTTAAGTTTAAATTTTCGAAAAACGGTGCCACAAACGGTTCGCTTTGTACACTGGCGGACAGGGAATTTTGGACATCAAATTTATGGCAGTTCAAAAAATGTTAATGTGATTGACGTTTGGAAAAGTTTTAGTTGTTTGGCGTTGATTTTCCGAAACAATAATGCCAGTAATAAATCAATAAATTATTTTGATTTGTTGTCATTTTTTTTTCTAGCTATCAGGACAAAAATTACAAAAATTAATTAAACATTTTTATTTAATTTAAAAGTATTACAATTATCATTTTGTCGCAGAACTAAAATATTTCAAATAATTTTGCGTTTTTTTTTCCTGGTTAGTTAAATAAATAATTTTTATTCATTTTCAATGACAATTACAAAACTAATGGCCAATTTATAAAACAAGTTAATCGCAATTAAATTTTAATTCGCGATTAACTTGACGTTTGTCAATGCAAAATAAATGGCAACTTAATTCGAATTATTAAGTATCAAGATTCTACAAATAAAATTTTCTCTCAATTGTAAAATTTCTTTATTACTGGGTACCGGTTTCGGCCAATTTGGCCTTCATCAGTCCTACGTCACAAATTACATTAAAATAATTTGGAAACTTTAAAATTAATAACATCGAATTACATAATTAAAAACGGTCCTAGTTGTTTATTCTTGAGTTGGCTGTCATATGTGTATTTTATTTGTATAATATTGACACTTAACGAAATAGCCCCAATTTGAGATAATTAAAATTTCGGACAGTACTGTCATTTTCATAATGTAAACTCTAAAACAACCTTTACATTAATAACCTCATTTTATATTCTTGTCATGTTTATGTCTTTTGATTTATTTACTTTTAAAAATAGTAATTTGTGGCATAATAATTGATCAAAGCGATGATTTAGTTACATTTAGTCCAATTAATAAATTTCATAAATGTCATGATGACAGTAAAGAGTAGTTTACAGTGAACTTTTTAAAGTGAGAAAAAAATACTGTCCAAAATTTTAATTTTGCAACTGTACATAACCTAATTCGAATTAGTTTAATTCTGAATTAAGTTTTCATTTCGCTTTCTGTAAACTGTAAAAAACTACGTCAAGTTTACAATACGATAATTTTGCTTGCGGTTAGAAGGGGCTGGTTCATTGAGGCGTCATTTTCACTTTGTTTGACTGTACGTTTTGGTATTAGAGCAAATAAATGAGACCTTGTCTGATGAAAATTATGATTTATGTTTCATTGTCTCCGAAAATCTGCATTTTGTTTATTTTTACGTTCAATAGTAGGATGTAAAATGTTACTTCTGGACCCGAACAGTCTCAGAAATGGATTGGTTCAAAGACGTAAATTGTTGTCTCGAGGATGGTTCACAGGTTGAAACCCCACGTGAGAGAATTTCATCAGATATAAGCTGGGGGTTAGCAAGTTCTTTACCAATTTGAGAACCAGGAACAACCACTTCTGATTCCAATATAAACAGTAATTTTCTACAAATAATTATATTATTAATGATGAAATTATATACCAAGACTTACTGGGGCCCCTTAGCGCAATTTATTTCACTTTTTTTAAACTTTTTCAATCTTATTATAGAATAGTTTTCAATTGGGGTTGATTGAGGAAGGGTTAAAATTCCATTTGTAGTTGTGTATGCACCATCAGAGGCACATATTCTGTAACGTGCAAGCCCCATGAGCCTTGTTGTCATCTTCTTGTAGGCAAGAATCTGGAATTGGGGCTCCTTTACTTCTTCACCTTTGAAAATACGCTAAAATATAATTTCTTAAAAAAGTGCTGTATAAAATTAAACGTGTGTACCAATATAGCGCCAGTTGTTAATTTATCTTCCATTTTTACGTTTCAACACAAAGATTTTTACATTTCAACACAAAGAACTGGAATTTATGGAAGGAGAATTGGCTTGGAAGGGGTAAGATTCCATGGCAAGAACTGGTAGTAAAAGTAGGCAATGTTTTCAATGTTGTATTAAAAGTTGCCTACCGCAAACAATTTTAAATACATAAAATATACACATAATTTTTTTCTTTTTTTATTAATAATTACAATTGTAATATACTTAACAGTATTAATGTTTTTCCAAATAACATTTTTTTCGACAGAATTAAATGATTCAGTGACGACATTGCACATCGTGTGACAAAATATCTGTTTTTTAGTTTGCGTTTATAATACGTTTATTAACGTCTCCAGTAGGAGTCGTTTATGGCTATCTATAAAAGCACACTGTACTTTAATGAATTTAGGGTTATTTAGTTTTTATATGCCGCTTCTGACTTGTCAGGTAAAAATTTTGCGTTGTTGCTTCGGAAATTTCACGAATTTCGGGCGGAGTGCAAACTAAATTCTGTTGGCTCATATTTTATATATTATTATTATGTTGTAACACTAATAACTAATAATTTGTAAATTTTATTTTTAATAGGCAGAAAAGATTCAAAAAATCAGGTAGGCGCCGAGTGTTACCAACCGATACCAACTAACACAAAATTCTCTTGACGACAAAAATATATTTTTTTAATTAAAATAAGAAAAAAAAGGGCGCGAATTAGAAAAAATAGCATAAAATACTCGTTTTATAATGGGATTGGCACACTCTTGATTGCCTGTTTGTAGAATACGAAGCACTATTTTACAGGGTTTTGTGTTTTAATGTGATTGTTTTAGATCTTTTTATTTGTTTAATGACTTTTTTTTGAAAGTTTAGTTCTAAATTTAATTTCAAACCTTTATTTAAAAAAAACAACGTTACATTTACATTTTTCTGATTCTTATGTAATCTCATTTAAGCAAATAAAGAATACCTAAAGTGGGCAACTAGAAAAAATTCGGTTAAAAGATACTTCGGACGCAAAATTACCAAAAGCCTGAAAGTAAACAAAATTTGTAATTTTTTAAATCGAAATAACAGTAAAAGTATTGAGCAAAAAATAAATAAGTGATGACCATTAAAATCTGACTTATTTGCTACTATGCGGTCATAATTTAGATTAAGTGGTTTAAATTTGAGGTTATGTAATTTTGGTATTGTCTTGTGCAGTGAAGAAATCAAAATTCTCAAAAATGGACGATGAGCAAGACCTTAAAAACATGAATGACTTTATCAACAATCAAAAGTCGTATCAGGTAATACAAATTAATTATAAGTACCCCAAATAACAGTGTTTTTTCAGGACACTTTTCAAGTCGAATTTCAGGATTTTGTCAACTTCAAGCAGGAAGACACCAGTGATCAGGTACAAAAACTCTTTTAAAAACTCCATTCATTTTTATTTACAGGAATTTGATGAAAAAATAACCCCGTACCAAATTCAGGAGTCTCCAGAGCAGCCCCCAAATCTCACACTATCAGAAGACGAAAAACAAGTAATAGATTCATGTTCAGACCCTGAACTAAAACGGTTGCTTGTTCTAAATCGCTCAAAAAACTTGCAACTTTTAAAACTTCAAAAAAAAATTCAACAACTTTTGCAAGAATGTGAAGCCGAGCTTGGGGAAAAAAACAACACTTTGAAAAACTCAGAACCGAAACAAAGCAGTCACCAAACAAACATATGGAAACTTGCAGCACCCTATTTTAAGGATGAGAGATTTTTTTCCTCGCCACTTAATGGGGATGCTATTAAAAAACGTGCCAGAAATGAATTAAATATCTATGATTTGGTACCCTCACCGAAGTGGACGCCGATAGAATTTGATCGATTACACAATGCAGTTAAATGCAATTATAATATAAATAGGCAAACTGCAATTGTGGCTAAAATACGTGTGTTGAAAGCAAAAGTCTCAACAGGGGGCCCCGAAAAGCAAACTAAGTTAAAAGAAATCGTGCAATTGAGAGAAGAACTGGAAAAAATTAAAGATGATGAGGAAATTCCACCACTGAATTCAAACGAACATATCAGTTGGTACAAAGTGTCTGAAACTTTTTTGAAAGGTGAGTAAATTAAAGTAAAATATGAATAATTTATTCGGAGTATTAAACTTCAAAAAATTGAAATAAAGAAAAAAGTTTTCACATAAACAGGTTCAATAATTTTTTTGAAGAATTTTCTTAAGACTAAATTGGATTTTCTATCTAATTAGATCTAAATATAATTTAATTTTACTAATTGCAAACACTTGAAACAAGCGTAATTTGTGTTTTTCGCTGAGATTAAAGACTTGAAAAGGTGATGTAACACCATTTTTGACTTATTTTTTGACAAAATTTCACTCAAAAACGAGCTAACGAACGAAATAACATCAATTTAGATTTATTTTTGTAATTTTTAGGCACAATCTAAATCGGGCAAAACAAGCTAAAATTATTTCAATTTTAATCTAATTTTAGTCAGTTTTAGAAAAATGTTC